GGACGGCTTGACGGATATTGACATGCTAGGAATAGTATATTTAAAAAATCGAAATATCCGCCTGTTTAAATATTGTGTTTTTAAACATGTGATAATATTTGAATTATGTATTTAATTTCCTACATTTTTTCTCCATATGAACTTGCAAATTTACTGTGCTTCATATTGATTTTTTATCACTATTTGTGAAGCAACTCCTTTTCTTTGGTTGAAAATATGTTTAATATAATATAATGATTGGTAATAGTATAATGACAAAGATATTAAAACACAAATGCCACTAAAGTTAAGATTGAATTTAAAAGCATTGACAACTAATCACTTCTTGTTATCAATTTCTCTGTTACCCGAGTTTCCTTTCTAGCAACTGGATCATGTTTCTAAAACATGAACGCTCATGGTTTTTATCACCGCATTGTTGAGTGCCACTGGCTATCATATTGAAAGCCAGACATCTACTTCATCATTGTTAGGTGTCATTTACAGTTTTGCATCGCCATTTTAAAAGCAACCTTGAACTGGGGCGTAGGTTGTGTGTGTACCCCATTGTCTTGTGATGATCTACGCGGAACTACGAAATCCACCCATAATTTTGTCTTGACATTAGGTTTGTTCGTAAACTCAAATGTAATTATTCACTTTAATACGATGTTTTTAAGTACCCACGCCTAATTTTCATAACTTCTAATTTGAATATCAAATAAAATATGCCGTTATTATTATGAAATATTTATACCATTCCTGAAAACTTAATTCAATGGTGATCATTCATCAAAAATTAACTACTGACTCTAAAGAAATGAGATTTCCAATACTACGAATGAACAAATATTAAGTCTGTAATTGTTCTTGCTTTAATAAATTCTTCTGGGTAAATCAGAACGAAAATGATGATTGATAGATAGATAGATTTTGTAAAATGAAGTAGTTAATCTTCTTTACACATTTCATTATGTATTATTTTCAATGCTGTCTATCGGTATTTCCACCCTCTTTCTCACTTCAAACCCTCAGTGTCCATGAATTATAATGAACTGAAGGGAATCATGGAACGAACTACTGCTAGGGTGGAATTTTATCGATTGTGACAAAAATGAAGCAAACCTCAGAATGGAAAGTATTTAAGTACATATCGTGTTTGCGTGACTAAATAATCTTAGTCTTACGATGCTTCATTGACATAATGCTTTAGCTATATCTATTTGTAAAGATGTATAATTAAGGAGAAACCTATGATTCAACAAGAAGTAATTTACATTTTGGCCAATGTTGCAAAGAAGTTATTTCACAACAGTCATATTTAACCAAACAAGCAGTTCTGTGTTCTTTTATTCTTGAAATATTATTTTATACTGGTTAAAAAGCACCCGAGAGCGAAACTTGATGTAAAGCAGATTGTGGAGAAATGTTATGAATTCGACTCACCAGCTATAATGTGTATGGTTGATTACAGCAAAGCTTTCGACTGTATCAACTGGAACTGTTTATGGAGGGTCCTATCAGAACTGGGTGTACCTCACCATTTAACTGCACTCTTGCTATCATTTTAACACAACAGCCAAGGCACAGGGAGAATTGGCGGGATCTCATTTTAACTGTTTACATTCAACAAAGGGTCCGGCAGGGCTATCACAAATTCTTGCCATTGAAAAATCCAAAAAACATTACGATTAGATAATGTATTTTAATTTCATCTTGTACACCTCTAGTCATGCCTTCATTGACACCACCACCAACATTCAGTGTTAAAAAGAATTTATTTGCAATATACCTTTTTACCACGTTGCTTAATATAAAAACGACATTAAAATGCATGAGATCGCATTGTTCCGTCAGTTACGATTGTATACAAGTTGTATAATGGAATTTTCATCTCAAGTCTCGCATGTCCATCTTGAAGACTTTGACCCGTTGAAATTGCATTGTTACATCAGCGTATTTATAGTCTGAATTCCTTTTACAATTTTGAGTATTATACTATTCCTTAACGTAAAAAACTCTTCCATTTTCAGATTTTTTTACAATTCGGCTGTGTACTATTTAGACTTGCTATCAATATTTCTTATTCGGTTTGGTTTTTAACTTAATAGATGGAACCAAACTTACCAAGTCTTTAAAAGTAAACAAAATGCTTATAAGATAAAAGTAAATTAACTCCTCTGCATTGTCAGGCAGCCATGTGCATTCCGTTATTACTGAGCTAAAAATAAAATCAATGTTTAGAAAATGAGCCTTGAATGAAAGTGAAATAAGCAACTGATGCCTGCTGTCTACTCGTTTGAATGTTGCCTGTTGTTTTCGCATTCTGCAACACAACAGCAGTTTCCAACACATTTGTTCATGTCAAATCTCCGTTGAATTTCACACACCAAGAACAATATCTAACCCCATTAGATCTCCAAATTAAATAACGCTATCTTTACTGCCTATTCACTCTATTACAAGTTGTGTCTGCTTTGATGAAATAACATTATACTTACTTAAACATGATTTTCCTAAAGCTTTGTCTATCGAACAGTGAAATCACTCTATTAACGTAGGCTGGTTGCTTGCGTTACGAACAAAATACTATGAAGTTTTATTTAGACATGAAAATATGAAAATATATACATATTTGTTTCTTAGGTTTTCACGCACATCACTCATTAAATAAAACTAGTTTTTACGGGTTAATGCACGAAAACTTTATTTATTTATTGACGTTTCGTAGTCTTTACAGGCTACATCGTCAGAATAAAACTTTTATTTAATTTGTCGAGCTACCTTCGAAAGACTTTTATTGAGCGTTTGGTTATTTCATTGTTCGATTTTTAAGTTTTATTGTCTATGTATGAATTTATTATTTAATCTACTTAATAAAGTATTTTATTTAAAATTCTTGTTTGTAATTTTGAGTATATTTATTTGACCCTAACTACCGTAAACTACCACCGGTTCCAAAATTGGGAGACCTTCCTGAGAAGAACCGGCGAAACAAACTCAAGAGAGGCTTTCTATCTCCTTCGTATGTTAAATTATGCAAACAAAAAGAACTAATAGTATCTGATGGTCTTGCAGTGTGTGCTCGGGGTTGGGATTTTATCTCCTGTATAATAGGTTCCCAAGCTGGTGGTATATACCAACCATCTTCCCTATTGAAATTTGGATATTTTTTAATCTCAATAGCCTCGCGCATCATTCGAGGAACGAACCGCCGCTCAGCTGCAAGGATCTGTGGTCTATCAAATCTAATGTAGTGGTTTGGTCCCCCTAATGCATGTATATACATATACCAAATATATACCAAACCACCAAACCACTACATTAGATTTGATAGACCAAGATCCTTGCAGCTGAGCGGCGGTTCGTTCCTCGAATGATGCGCGAGGCTATTGAGATTAAAAAATATCCAAATTTCAATAGGGAAGATGGTTGGTATATACCACCAGCTTGGGAACCTATTATACAGGAGATAAAATCCCAAAGTGCTCGGGACACACTGCAAGACCATCAGATACTATTAGTTCTTTTTGTTTGCATAATTTAACATAAGAAGGAGATAGAAAGCCTCTCTTGAGTTTGTTTCGCCGGTTCTTCTCAGGAAGGTCTCCCAATTTTGGAACCGGTGGTAGTTTACGGTAGTTAGGGTCAAATAAATAAACTCAAAATTACAAACAAGAATTTTAAATAAAATACTTTATTAAGTAGATTAAATAATAAATTCATACATAGACAATAAAACTTAAAAATCGAACAATGAAATAACCAAACGCTCAATAAAAGTCTTTCGAAGGTAGCTCGACAAATTAAATAAAAGTTTTATTCTGACGACGTAGCCTGTAAAGACTACGAAACGTCAATAAATAAATAAAGTTTTCGTGCATTAACCCGTAAAAACTAGTTTTATTTAATATATACATACATGAAAATGAAACATAATGTTAGAAAGTCCATCTGATGTTTCTAAAAATATGATAACTTTTCCGAGTCACTCGGTCGCAAACAATTATTGGAATAATTACAGTCTTTCCTACATTTTGATAAAGGCTCTATTTCTGGGATAACTCTCTTAACTTATATTGGTAGCACTTTCTAAATCAGAGCTATCGAAATCAACTTGATTTTCGTATTCAACGATTTAGTGCAAAAATGTTTTTCACAAAACTTATTTTTGCAAAAAGCCCGCCATCTGGCTCGTAATCATTGTATGCCATCGGCCGTAAAATTACGAGATGTAACCAGACTGGGGGAACTTATGATAGGGGTTATTGCCTCGGAACTATCTATCAGACGGCTGCATGCATATGTGCAGGGAGTGGATAAAGTTTATTTGTATGGAGCAGTGTGGCGTCGGTCGCCCCCTGATAATCGAGTTGGGTGGGGCGCCTGGCGAGGCGAGCGATCGCCGGCTAGTGCCGAACGAGACCGTGTGCTGTAGGAACGTGTCGATGTTCCTAATTCAAAAAAGTTATAACCGCGAACGGGTTTCTCGGAACCGTTTATTCAAATACAACTCTAAACCGTGCGGAACCGATCGTTAAATTAGCAGCGTTTGTTTTGTAGTTTTTAAAAAGGATGTCCGATCAACCGTCGAAAATTTTGAATCGTCTGTGCCGTTCTCTCTTTGCCCGATATTTTGATTCTCGTGTACGACAACAATTAATGCGACTACCGTCATCCATGATCGAGAGGTTTGCAAAAACTCGAGTGACATGAAAAATGTGACATAAATCAGTGATCGGAAGCATAACAGTGCGGCATTGAGTATCAGTGTTGATTTGGAACAAAAAAATTGTTTTACAGCTGTAAAAACATTCACGTGCCATTAAAGCTTTATCAAATTTTATATCATCTAATCGTTTTAGTCATAATTATGTAAGTACAGATTACGGAATAGTAATTTATAAATACAACAAAAAAGTTAAGTGCAATATTGGAAGTAATCCAAAGATAATATACTCTGTGAATAGATGACTTTTTAAATGTTCAAATCGGGATTGTTCAGTCGGTCCAAAGGTGCAATGGGAGAAGGTGTTGAAGTGGAAGACAGCCTTGAGCTGGAGTATGACATGTGGGATGGACAGTTTGACTTCGTGGGGCCCCAGGACCCTCCGATTCTTCGACCGAGAATCACTTCGGACACAAGTCTAACAGAAGAGTTGTTCAGTGGGAGTCCAGTAACACCACATCTGAGCAACGGATTGAACGGTGGCAAGAAGACTGCGGCCCATCAGTGGTGTGATAATCTTACTGACCAAGTGAGATATAAATTCTTTCATTCCATAAATCATAGTTATGCCTTATCAATTTTATAGTTGATAGGACTTTACTGTTAAGCAACACGTCAGTCCAATTGACGTCTATTAATTTACCAGTATTTTCAACGTTTGACATTGTCCTTAATTGAATCATACAGTCCATCATAATTATTACTCATCAAAACGCTATCCTGTGTGTTTACGACACAGGACAATGAAATAACGTCATTCAATACTGCATAACTTGGGTAAAAAACCAATACTAAAAGTAATTCAAACAGATAGCAAATTGCGATCTTAGTTTATTTAACTTTCCGTTCTAATGCTTTCAATCTCTCACAGTTTCGATAATATTGCAAACATTCATTTTTAAATGAACAACATGATTTCCATTACTTTTGGAATGGCCAGTCGTAGGCGATGCGTATCCGTTTGCTACGGAACACAATCGAAAACAAAAGTATTTTTTTCGGGCGATTGGAGCGAGACATCGCCGCCCGGCGCATCGGTAGATCGGTACCATCACGGCCTCCTTCAATTCTTAATTCAGTATTCTCTAATGTCACGCGAACCACTCCATCTTTCTTGTATGCATCATTTTTATCAATCAAACTCCACTTATCATCGTTCTCGACAAATTTGACTACAGCTCATTCCATTTTGGCCACTTCAGATTCATCACGCGGTTTATCAGTATGAACCTTATCAAATATGATATCTTCATTTTTGATTGGTGCTTTATCAATTTTTTTCGGGGGCTATTTTGACATTATCATTCAGAGTTACGAAACAATTATGAAAAAAATACTTATCCCATAAATGGGATTAAACAAACAATAGGAAAAGATAAGAATCAGCAAGTAAGTATAACATAGTTCAACAACCGCTTAACATATTACCATTGTCGAACAAGACCCACATTTCACACGCCTTGTGAATTTTTCGTACATAAAATCATCATGGTTCGAGTAAACAATACCTAGCTATTTCTATTCATTAACTCCGTCTAGCTCAACAATAATTGTTGAGAAAACTTGCACTATAATTGTAAAATAACCACTTTACTAGGCTAGTTTACATATTATTGAAGTAGGTAGTGTAAACAATGATTCATGTTATGTTATGTCGATACAATTGATAATATTTTGACATATTTCTATAGGTACTGATATTATTCAGGGTTTAGGGACTGAGTTTCTATCTAAATGATATCGCAATGAATGGCGAAATAAAGTTGCTGAAAACTAAGGTAATCTTTATTGTTAATTTATTGAAAACCAAATTGTCGTGAATATCACAATTTTCTGTGGAATTGCAAACTTTAAAAAAACTTAATTGAAGTATATTGATCCTACATTTCCGGTCGTATGGTATTGAGAAGTAGTTTTCCAAGAATCTTTATAATTATCTCTAAAGACTCAAGACTTATATCAAAAGTTTAACAGTATTTTTGAGATAGTAAACACTGTAACCACTGAATCGAAGCAACATGGATTAGATAATGTCAATCGGAAACCTTGTTATTTCTTATTTTTAGTTATACCTACTAGGTAGTTCAAAAATGACGTTCAACAATTTGTCATTTTTATCTAATCACCATCACATGTAGTTTATATTATCTATCAGTTAATTCATTGTTATCTTTAATAATTACTTGTATTGATTTTCTTATATTTTTGCCTTTGTTGATTTCCAATTTTAATCTCAAATGTATGCCACGGCCGCAACACAAAATACTCTACAGCATGCGTCAAATAATCAGGTCAATTTGCGTGCAAAACCGCACTAAAATAACTCCTACTGACTTCCTATGTTTTGCTTAACCAGCTTTTATCCTTAAGAATGTATTCCAAAAACATTAATATTTCCTTAAATTTGTCTTATAAAGTTTTCTACTCCATGAACATGGGTAAAAAACCAGTATACTTTGGATATACTGTGTAGCATAGGAATAAAATAAAACTTTACTTACGATTAGTTTACTAAAAAAATATCAATAGATTGGACAGACTGCCAACCAACATGTCACCAAACTGTGTCTGGATAAGAATTGGAAACTTATCGACATTACATAATGACAAAATTAGAGCCGTTAGTTCGTGAGCTATGTAAAACTTCCTTGTGAAAATTCTACTAGTACTTTTTTTTATTTCTTTATTATTATTAAAACTTCGTCTTTTATTATTATTAAAAGTTTCCAATCATTTTCATAAACCAATGATTTTGTTCGAAAAAAGTGCATGGAAACCATCACAAATATTGGCAACATTTTCCCATCGATCCTTATTGGTACAATTGAAATTAACGAGAAAATACACGACGGTCATTCCATTCTCAAGTGCTCTCTAAAGAAAGTGGGTGCAGTCTAAAACATCAGTAACATTCGCCGCTCACAGTCGCAGCCTTACATTCAATCCATATTTGTAACTAAATGGAGTTTCTATGGATAGATAACAATCTTGTAGAATAACTTATTATTACAATACGCAAAACTACTTATCTTTAACAACCAGATATGTTTATGTCAGAGTTTGATTACCTGAGTATTTTGGTATCCGAACTGTTTTTAAACGCTTCTTATGACGCGGAGCCTCAAATTTCATGGATTAGCATTGAAGATGAAAACATTCCGTATTGTTAGGGTGTATTGTATACACTCAGCCCAGAGAATTTTTAATGCCAGGCCATCCATCAACGTTCACTTCACATTTCCTCCTTTGGAATCGTGAATTAGTCCAAACATAATATGCTGGTACTTGGTAATATAAAACGGTTTTGGCAAATTTCGAGGCAAAGAAGACATAACTTTCTGGTGGTTTTGTAAGTTTATCTGCGAGGTTTTGCCATTTTCCAGATGAACTGCAAAATGAAAAGAACTGTCCAAACTCTATTCGGTATTGCGTACCGTAAGATATGGTTTGCAATTTTACAAAGACAACTTTACAAAAGACCACTATAGGTTTTAAATTGACAAATCATTAAAGCATCCAACGTCTTCATAGGTCAATGTCGAGTTAATAGTGTAATTAATCAAATTAAAGGGTGCATTAACCCGTGGCACCGTTAGAAACATTTGCCGGGAATGCGACTGGCAATGCATATCGATTCGGCGTCATGGAGCGAGTCAGTCAGTCACCGCAAGCGACCCACTGTCAGGCTAATGGGAATTAACCATGATGTGCGCCGAACTGTATCTAAGCTGACTTAAGTTTTATTAAATGGAACGGGCAACTTAGTACTAAGTAATAATTTAAAGAAGATAGAATACTTTTTTACCAGAAAACAATTTGTTTGAAATATCAGGCGAAACAAAACAAACATGACAGAAGTGAAATTCTTCCTAATAAAAAAATCTTTATAATAAAAAAAAGTTTTATGTAATAAAACAGGGTCGCCTTGGCAAATCGTAAAAAGTGAAAAATATTCGAAACAAGATGACACCGATACCAAAAGCAACAGAACACATTAAAAAAGAGGAAAAATACATTACGGGTGATTTGAGATCGGGAAATTTATGATTTTCCTTAATAGCAAATACGAATAACCATTTGGAAGTGTAAGCATTTTCCTAATTGGCACAATTTACGCCATTAGTTAGGTAGGGTGCCTAATGCGTATATAATTTTTTTCACGGTTTTCAGAAATTTTCCTGTATGCTTATAATTAACACTGAAAACTTATTCGTATCTACACATGTTAACACCTAATAGAGAAAATTGTTTATTACTTTCTGTGGAGAAATAATTAATGACACACAAATATTGCAATTACTGCGACAAACGTTTTCAGTATTTTTCCAAAACAATCGCAAATCAATTTTATTATAGTTATATTTATTGTGAGACAAACACATAATAAAAAACATTATTAAACAAAGCTGTTATAATTATTTTTAGTACTTCTTCGCATTTTGACTGTATTTTAATGCGAATTCTATTCGTAGACCTTGGCTATACGCATGTAGGCGAAAGATCCTAAAGAAGTTCAAGAAATAAGATAGTATGAACTCCTTTTTTTAATAAGTCACGATAAGTATCCAAACTTTTAGTACTTAACCGAATGTCTATTACCTACCCGTATCTAACTACTATTTTGTGATACATAACTGCTTTGATTACATTCATGTTGATTTGGGTTAAAATTCTACAGGATGGGATGATATGAGAGATAGATATCATAGTTTCTGACATAGTCAATTTTAAATTTAATGTGGGTAATATACAAGAATTGATTACAAAAGACTGTCTAGTAATGTTAAATATAAACTTCAGGTATTTTAACGAAGACGAGTAAAGAAATATTCTTCTATGATTACATTTTGTAAAAGCGACAGATAGCCAACCCTTCATATACAATAACAATCGTTACTATCTTGTTTCTTGTCATTTGTTGAGCGATAGAAAGTTAGTATAACTTACTTATAAAACCCGATTTTGCTAAATCTCAAACTAAAACTTGACTTAGCCCATACAAATTCACATTGACGTTCTAACATTTTTCTATGAATTAAAGCTAGTTTTGGTTGAATGGAGATTTAAAAAATTTGTTGCAAAACAGTTGATTATTAATATTTTTACGGAGATTATGATTATATAAATAGACACAAAATGAATTAAGTAACATCAAATAAACATCAGTTACCGGCGAAAACTAAACTTTTTGCACATAGGAAGAACCTATAAATAAACAACACCGGATGGATAGTAAACATAACAAATACGAAACAAACATCATTTAGTAGTGAGGTGAACGTAAAATAAGCTTAACGAAAACCAGCGAAAAGTGAATCTTATCACAATTGGGTAAAAGTCCCACAAGTTCGATAGTTATGTGCACTATTGTATCAGACGCTGGAAAGTGGCAAGACAGGTCTCCAACCAAGAAAATGTGTGTTTAAGAGGAAGTCACGAACATAGTTTGTTGTAGTTAGGTGTACATACTATTAAAGAGCTTCTAACAAAAACGGTTTGCCGTGACTTTTCCCGGAAAACACATTAAACCTACCTTAATTTTGTTTGATTATAACATTATCTATTTCCTGTTCGGAATCCTTCTAGAATTGAAAATCATACTACCTATTTAATTCCTGTTTGTATTCATAAATTTCTAATACAGTAATAGCGGTAATGGACTTGCCACTAAAGTGACATTTTATATCTCTCGTAATCCATAATTGTATAAATGAAATGAATAAACAGACAGCAATAGCTTTTCTTGGACAAACAGGCTGTCAAAAAAAATTGTATTAGAAAAACTCAGTCGATCCAGGTTTCAGAAGGGATTTTATTTAGATTAAAACATCTAGCAGTTAAATCTTTAAAATAAAAATGTAATAAACAGGAGAAGTATGAGAGGAACTCACAGACGAAGGGTTGTATGCCATCGTAGAACACGATTTATTAACACTTCAAAGTATAGATTGTTAGGGTAAAACGAAAAATGTAAGAATAATGTTTTTTAAAGGGGGGCTTTAATTTTGAATTTTTGGTATGTTGTAAATTTAGGAAAAACTTCATACCCCTTTTTATGTACAGCAGCTTATTCATTTAACTAATTATTGTGTATGCGTGTGTGTCAAACGCATGGTAGTGTGTGTATTATTGAGTAATGTATTTTTTAGAATGTTTTTTGTTATTTAATAAAAATATTGACTTTCTCCACAACTTCTCCATGTCATCTTTAATTAAGCAAAAATTTCACACGCATATTTGTTTCTAAGGTTTTCACGCACACCACACATTAAATAAAACAAGTTTCAACGGTATAGATGCACTGATTTATTTATTATGAATAAATTCAGATTTCATGTGATATATTAACTGAACAGAAGAAAACATATTTATTCCGTGGTACAGTTACCAGGACATACTAAAATGTATTTATTCCATGGTACAGACCCATTAACTGTATCAGGAAGGCATTTATTTTACCGTAATCCAGATTACTGTACCACTAAAAAAATACCATAGTCCAGTCAACCGGACTATCCCAACTGTACCAAATACACGGTTCAATGTCAAATAGGTAAATTATCTGTTAACTTCACACAGTAGAAGCAAACTTTAAAACCCGCCGAATTATTGACTATATAAGCATACAAAGTCAAAATAAATATCAAACAAGAAATTAATGATCGTATGAACCGCGTGTCAACCGTTCTCTTATAATAATAATCACTTAAATTATGTAGTAGATTAGGTACGTGTGGCCACAACATGTTCAATGATATTTAAGAGGTTATCACTTTTAACCTAAATAAGTATTCATAGCTAGCAATATTGGAAGACGAACCATGTGTTCAACGAATGTCTGCCAACAATAAGTATTTGACAAACTAAAACTTGCATTTTATTTAAGTGGAAAATTAAAAGTACTAAAAAAAATATTAGATTAGGTATTACATTATAATATTGCTTATTTCTACACCTTCACTTACAAACTAGTAAGTAGTCTTGTACCTTGCATTGAACTCTTTTATCCGTGAAATTTCGATAATGTAAATCAATATCATTTAAATGTACTAGTCATAGTCATAACGACATTTGAAATTGTACTTAACTTTGTGAAATTTAATTTCTAATCTTCTTTCGTTCTTCATATTTGTAAGAAAAACTTGTTAGTGGCTTATAGTTGTTAAATAGTTAACCATGATTTTATGAATAGCTATAAGTATTCCCATTAAAAATAAAAAAAAGCTGATAAACATTAATACTATATTCATAATTATTCTAGAAGTCTGATTACATCAAAATCATTTAAATATCACGATATTCATTTTCGCGTTCAATATTAAAATTCATCTCGACGTTGTCGAAATTATTTCCTACTAAATCATTTTAGATGATAGTAATAATATCGGTCGTTAAAATCGAAAAAAGAGATTCGATAAAACAAAATTAGTTTCACTTTCACCGATATCTGGTACCCACATCGATAAACAGGTACCGCATTATCGATATGGAGGTAAAAATAAAGAATGTACCATTTTATTCAAGTACCTAAGTGCTGGCTGCAGTCGGCAACTTTTTTCGATGAATAATTTTTTATCGAAAATTTTCACATTTTATGTGAAATTCGTGAAGATTTATCGAAGATTTACAGATCTAGCTGCGTAAACCCTAATTTATTATATAGTATTAGTATTATTATTTATTATAGTATAATGTTAGTGACCATGAAAGTTTAAAACAATAAACTAAACCCAATGCAACATATTTTATTATACCTACTTAAACAAAAAGTTATGAACTTGAACGTGGAGGGTACGTAAGAAACGAAGATTAAAAGTTAGTGATTATATAAACTATATTTTGGTCAAATATAGTAAGAAAGGCAAACGATGAGTTATCAAGAAGTATAACAGTTAAGTGTATGTAGTACTTAAGAGATCCAAAACTGTCTACTGTTAATAGGCTGGCGATTGATGAATTAATGGGTATGGAACAAGAGTACATTCAGTTGAATTAGTTAACTAACATCCTTAATATGTGTCCTCTCCAACTACTTTCGGTATTTTAAAATCTCATCGGAAACTTTGCAAACGAATGCGGATGGATGCCGCATTTAAGAAACGACAGTCACTGTCAATAATTATCTGGCTGAATTAACAAGAGGGCTTTATTACAGCCATTACGTGAATTCAGATGTTCCAGTGATAAAGTAATTACATGATTCGATGTGCACATCAAGTATAATTAAAATTCTGGCTTGGACAAACATAGCTGTATCGATAGAGCAGACAATTGCGTACTAATAAAAATGAGAAAATCTCATTTGAAGTACCCATTCACTGTGAATCTGTTAGATTTTTACCAGCTTAATAACGAGGCATTCGCGCTAGTGGCATTTCTCTGAAAACCTTACTTTGATACCTAAATAATTAAAAGATCATATTCTACTTTTAAAAGATGTTAAAAGTTTCATTAATGTTTTAAGCGTTAGCAGCATCATTGTTCCATTTCCAATGTAACCTAAGATAACATCTGTAAATGAAATGCCTTCTTTAATATGTATGTTATTATCCATTTAGGTATTTATTTGTTCAAAATAATGTGCCTTAAGTGTTTATTTATCCATAACAAAGTGCATTATTAATTCATTCATCTTCGCGATCAGTATACAATGCTAATATATTTACGAAGCTCACATCATTTCTGACACACTTCCGAGTATACTTTCAAAAAATCAGATAACTGACAACCCTGACGAAAATACGTCCGATTCAGCTGTGTACTCACCATCTGTGATTCACTAGTTGGCTGGTCATCAACTTATTCATGAAGAAAAATAAATATACAGTCGTACTCATGTTCAACGGGGGGACAACGATGTATTGCTTACGAGAAATTTTACCTATACCTATGCCTATAGCGGTTGGTGTGTCATTCTTTCCATTCAATTATTCTGGTAGAACGCTATTGGTCATTATTATAAAGACCTTTGCTGGTCTCCTACACACAACTAAATCATCTCCTTCCTGTGTGACAGAGCTTGTTATTGACGTAATAGCTAAATGGGATGAAAATTTATAAACTCTAAGCACTGTTAGAAGTAGTTATAAGACGCTATGGTTTCAGATATTTTAGAACAGAAAGGGATGTTATAGAAATATTGGATAAATTAGGTCATAAAATAATATAATACTCCTAAGTCCGATAATATATGAGAAAATTGGCAATAACTTTTAGAGTAGCATGCGTTATGTTATCATTAAATGTTAGCTACCTGTATGAAGGTATTACTAGTAAAAACTAGACATATATTATTTTAATGGATTCGACTCGCAGATGAAATTCCATGCTATTCAATCTTATTAACTTATCATGTAGCTAAAGATAATAATGAATACCTACCATCTAAAAATATCCCAGTTTAATCATGCAGTGGCAAAAACAGAAACACACGACATCGTGCCGTGAAAATCACGATGGTCATACGCACTGAAAGACTTGTAATTATTACTTACTTTTGCGAAGATTGTAACAAGTTATGCCCAAGTGTTATAACTTTGTAGGTTACTAATTACTAACGTAGGTAGTATCATAGTCGATAATTAGTAAGTTACTATTAATTTTCCAAAACAAAATCTTGAATAGTATTTATTTAATCTCGTTATCTCATTAATGAGCATGAATATAGTGACTAGTGAAGCAAAGTAATGGGATTATTATTCCAAAGGGATAGAGGTGAAAATTTTTTAACCAATGTATTAAAGACCAAAATATAATTTAGTATAATGAATGCGATAACAATTTGTGTTTCCATAGAATATATATGATAAAAATATAATCTGTATCTAAAGTTCTTAAATCTAAAGATTAATGAAGCCCAATTTGTTTTTAATGTATACTGATAAGATTCGTTATGAAACTGTATCTACTATCATGGCCTTGATGCTACTTTATAATGATTTTGCACACGTGAAGTAAATATTTTCAGTGATAGCGGAGGTAAGGGATTAATTCAGAGAAAACTGAAAAAGTACTTTTAAATCAATAATTTTTATCTAAAACCGTCTAGTAATACAAAAATGCCGACCCGTAGTTAGATTTATTTATACAATGATAAGTGTTTTAATATTTAATAAAATTACGAAGTTTCAAACTGACAAAGTTAACGTAATAAACTCAAATGCAAATTCCTAAAATAACACGGTCGTAACAAAGTGTTTAAAAAAAGTAGATTTTAATAAACTGTGAATATCTCTAATTATGAACAGTAAATATCCGTAGATTTAAACTACCGATAAGTGGTTTTCATGTACCAACCTACATCAAGCAATTTTTGTAATTATAAATAGACAGGTTACATGTGCAATAAAAAATATCAAGGATGTAGGTTTTAAAATTATTAGGATGGTAATTATTTTAATAAATAACTTCCATCTATACAACTGACAGAATTGAGAGTGCAAAGCATTGAGGGCTCGCAAGACCAAATAATGTTTTATCTTTCGGATTCTATATCATATTACTTCAATACTATAAGCCCTAGCCCCTTTTCTGGACTAGCAAATAAAGAAATAACATTATATGCACTGTATCCTTAGCACGAACCAATATCGAATTCGAATCGTTTGCGAGTCCGAAATGAATAGTCAAATCTTTTCTGATTTTTAGTTCTAGTTACTTCCTTTATTGCTGTTCAAGTTTTCATACAAAATTTGCCATTGACATTTCGCACTCGCAAACTATTCTAATTCGATAATAGATCGTCCTAGGGATACTGGTTTCCAACTTTTCTCGCAGATAATAATCAAGATATTCCGAATAGGCGATAGGCCGACTTGTCACAACATTCTTTTTGTACAAACAAGTAGCAGGCCTAGGAAGATATTCTTTCTTTCTTTATCTGCCACCCCATATTTAGGTGTATGTGATTTTGCATCGACCGAAACGCCTCCTTTGCTTGCTTCATATTAAACGTGACGTGTTTACCTGGGCAGGTGCAGCTTCTGCAACAACAGGTGACGTCGCTGGCCGACACGCAGAGCACGGCGGACGAGCGATACGCGAGAGCGAAGGCAGACAACGCAGTGATGCAGGCGCGCGTACACATGCTCGACGAACAGATAAGAGAGGTATAAGATTTACTTGGTATTAATTACAGTATATGAATTCTAATAGTAGGTATAGAAAGATTGCCCAGGAGTGCCATGCCGAAGTAATTATTTATTAAAATATCGAAATTTTGACCGTAACAACAGCAAAATAATAATTTCCTGTTGCAACTGCACACTATCAGTATTAAATATTCGGATCTCTTCAGGGAGCAATATCATAATATGTATTTATATAGTGGATAAGGCACAATGTCAAAACAATTAAACAAAAAAAACAAATATTGATGATGATGTATGAAAACAAGATTACGGAATACATTTTTAACTTTGTTTTGGTGTAGATAGTACCCACCCACAAACTTAACTTAATTCATTATATTTATGATTGAGTTAAAGGTCGTGCGAAGCCGCTGGATGCAGATAGCTTAGTAACGATCAGCGTGAAGATTTTTAGGGAATATGTATGGTAGACTGTGGGTGACGTATGATGAATGATTGATTTAAATATTATTTGTAATCCTTTTCAGATCGAATGCAGATGCGAGGAGCGCATCGCAGAGGAGCAAAAGCGATGCCGCGAGGCGATCGCGCGGGTGGAGCGCGACAGAGACACGCAGCTGGCGGCGCTCAACGACAGGCTGGCCACCGCCGAAACAGAAGCCTCAGACCTCAAACAGGAGGTAACAATCATGTTCAGCTAATATACGTCCTAAAGTCAGAAGAAGAAGCAGGCGCGGTCGCAGCCTGAATTTTGGAGGGGATCACCCAAACTTACGATTTCCACATAGTAGTTTGGTCCCTGATCTGACACCGCTTATAGAAAGAGTTGCCAGAATTTTCAGCAGTCTTTATATTTGGGTAGATAATCGTCGCAAGTTACAATGAATGCATCGCGGCTAAGGGCAGAAGATTTTTCTCGTCTTCGACATGTGCGATTTTGGGGGGCTCAAGAAGCATGTGCTAACTAATTGTACAAATAACAAGTGACCAAAAACTGGTTAGAATCCAATATGATACCTGGGCCGAGTTAATTAGTTTAATTTTCATAGAGTATGACGATACGATACGTTATAGAAAATTCCTGCTTGGGCCTCTTTCAAAATGAATAAGACAATAACTAAATACAAATAATATCTCACATTTCTAGGTAGGGAGACTTCGTGGGGTAGCCGAAACTCTGAGAGCTAACGCGGAAATGGCTGCTCGAGCGCATCGTGAAGCGCAAGAACAAGTCGGGGAGCTGGCTGCCCAACTAACCGCGGCTAGGGAATCAGAGAGGCGGGAGAGGGAATCTGCTGCAGCTACGGCAGAATTACTGGCGTCTGCTAAACTAGAATTGCAGAGGCTGAAAGAAGCACCACCCCCACCGCCGGACCCTCGCCTCGACGAGCTGAGGAAGGAACTAACGCTGTTAAGGACCCAGAACAAATGTAAGTAGTTTACAGTTAATTGTCTATTTGGAATTAGAGAGGCGGGAGAGGTAATCTGCAGCTGCCACAGCTGAATTACTGGGGTCTGCTATACCATAACTTCAAAGGCTGAAAGAGGCACCTCCCCCGCCCCCCGGACCCTCGCCTCGATGAGTTGAGGAAGGAACTATCGCTGTTAAGGACATAGAACGAATGTGAATAGTTTAAAGTTGCTTCTTGGGAATCAGAGAGGCGAGAGAGACAACCTGCAGCTGCTACAGCTGAATTGCTGGGGTCCGCTAAATTAGAACTTCAGAGGCTGAAATGAGCCATGACTTGAGGAAGGAACTAACGCTGTTAAGGACCCAAAAAAAGGAATCGATTTAAAATAAACAAACAAATGTGAAATATCTTATCGTGTCTTTAAATAGGTATTGGTAGTTTTCCATTAACTTATGTAAACGATGAATTTAGTGACTTCCTTGGTGTCGATTCTAGCATAATTCTCTTAACTTAAAACTAAATTTAAGATCAACCTCTCCTTTTTACTCTGTATAGAGATTGACAAGGATACACTGTTGTCAAATTTGAATTGAGGTTTAGAGAATCATGCCAGCGAGAATATCGCCACCATTGCATCAATAAAATAATAGCCATTTTTAATTTTTTATCCAATTTACTATTTGACATATATATATATATATATATAATAAAAACGTTCTAGATGAAAATAACTCAGTTTTATTAGCTTTATCGGAAGCACAAGAAGAGCTTCAAGCACAAATCCTGACACGTGGTGTAGATACACTGTTGTCAAATTTAAATTGAGGTTTAGAGAATCATACCAGTATCGACACCATTGTATCAATAAAACAATAGACATTTTTAATCTTACTTCCAATTTACTACTTGATATTAAATTATTTTTTAATAAAAAAACGTTCTCTATGAAAATAACTCCGTTTTGTTGAAAATCGCCAGCTCTATCGGAAGCACAAGAAGAGCTTCAAGCACAAATCCTAACGCGTGGCGTAGAAGAAGGTCGCAGCTTACTGGACGGAGTCAGCGGACCTCTTGTTGCCACCAACTCCCTTGCCCATGAGCTTTCACAGATGAGCGATGACGAGGTAATTATAAACATTCACAACATAAACTCGTATGTCGAATCACACCTTAGGCGTCTATTCGGCGCGCATGCAGCCTTCAGTCAATTCCATCAGTGAACTAACGGCCAGTTTAAATAATTAAACTCCAGTAAAAGGCCTACCCTTCACTGGAAATACCTGATTGAAAATATATTTTTAGTATTAAGACTATAATAATAAGTATTGTTTAGTAACGGAACCAGATTATCCTTGCCTTTTACTGGAGGTTCATTACCTATTGAAACTGTCCGTGATAACGTCATCAGTCAGAATAAAGGATCAAACATCTTACAAAAGCTCTAAGGCGTCCGTAGACGGTAAGTTTTGCTGTCAATTTGCTGGCAGTCAAGGTAATGCCTAATCAGGTTATTCATCAACCATTACCTTGACTGCAAGCAAACTAATAGCACAACTTACCATCTAATGAACGCCTTAAAGCTTTTGTAAGATATTTTAATCCCGCTGTCCCTGAGCGCACAGCAGTTCTAAAATGGCGACATTCGTATGCAATATCTGCAATTTATTTCTTATATGAATTCTTCAACCTGACATTGACAGCGTTTCATCTAAGTGGTCGTTTTACGCATTCTCATAGATACATCGAATTGGATATTTCCTTTTTTAATAATAGGTTCATTTAATATTTCATCAAATATCCTGTCGTTTTAAAATGTTAACATACAAGATATTATGGACCATTATACTAAACATACAATCACGCTATTTTAAACCCTCTCATCACGAAAGTAAACAAGTACTGTACCATCAAAACAATGCTGCACGTTATATCCAGGCTGACTTTCACAAGTATTGGTCAAACACCATTCAATGAAAACAGTACACGCGCCACAATAATCACGCTTTTTTAAGAAACTGTGTTGTTTTAAAACAGACAAAATCATTACATTTTTATTTATTCATTATGTTTGGAATCAAAACATTTGTATATTATCCCCTGAGCAGAGATACTAGATTTGAACTAGATAATACTTCTTACTATTTATACTTCTTTTTTAAGTAAGATCGGGGTGGTTAGATTTCACTGAACTTGCATTCCATTCTTTATAAAAAAATAAAGTGTATACAATATTGATATTATGTTACTCTTTCTTTTAAAAGCATTTGCATTTAAAAATATTCCAATTTTAACATTATAACAATATTCCCTTTTGTAATCTTTTTGTTACATCAAGGCTAACTTCATTCACTATTTCGTAAAGAACATAAATATCAGTATCATCGCATAAATGCTTTGCTTTTACAAGCCTTATGTTTTACCGACTTATTTGCGAAGCTATATCTTTATGTATGCGTTTTTGCAGCTCGATGGTAGCGATACACAAACAGATCTCAGCATAGAGATGGAAAAGGTACGATTTCATTTACTAACTGTGCATGCTTGCGGTTATCTATCTCACTAACTTTTGCATGCTATGCTTGGTTCTCATCTTCATTATATCATTTGATCTTGTGTATCATCAAAATGGTACCTTTTTCATGTTTCACTTTGTAATGACTCATCAACACAATGTCATCCATATACCACAAAAGTAATTCATTTTACCTTTCAAATAACCAATATTTTTTTACTAAACAAATCATGCGTCTTGTTTATTGAAGAAACTTTTAAATTAATAACATTTGTCTTCTTTCGCAGTTGCAGAAGGCTCTGAAGGAACAACAAGACGTAAATGTACAACTGAGAAATTACATTGATGGTATCTTATTGGCTATAGTAGAAAACTACCCTCAATTATTGGAAGTAAAATATCAAAAGGAAGTAGGAGAAAAGTCATAACAATATTAATTCAGTTCAAAAATTCTCAAGTTATTTAATTATTTGTCGATATCATCATCACTTAGTCGTAATAGGTGTGTTCATTGTATTTTTTTATTGCATTCATAGAAGAAGTTATCATTCAATAAAAATATTAATGTATTCATTGAGATTTACGTGTTTGTTCTGTGATAAAAAAGAAGCAGAGGATTAAGATGTTATAAAATGTCATTCAGAATACAATAGTTTAATGAAAACAATGTAGTTTTAGTGATAACACTAAAATAGTTTACCTTGAATATTTTTATAAACTTCCATGTGTAAATATTGTGAATAGCGGATCTTTTTACAAGCAAATATTGTTCCTTTTAGGTATCTCAGGAACTGTAACAATAGTTACAGTACTGAATAAGTAAAAATCATACTTAATAGGTATTCAAAATAATGAGATCTGTACAGGTATGAACATTTTTAAGTAAATTTATTAATAATAAATATATAGAGGCCAAGCCGTCCATAAATATTATAACTACTTAAAGCAATTATTATGAAAGACTGGAGCGTATGAATTCTAATACGATTGTTTGAAATTTGTAATATAATATAATTTTAGCTAAATAATTGTAGAAATTTTAAAATACCTAAAGCCATTAAAAATCTTTTGTATTAAAGGTATTATCTTCAAATTAGTACCTAAGCTTTATTTGTTATGATAGATGAGAATTTGTACCTATATTTTTGCAATGATATATTTAAGTTCTAAGATGTATTGAATTTATATATATTACGAATAGGCATTTGTGTACATTTTGATAACATAATTAATATTGTAAATTTATGAAAATGTTCTTCTTATAATAATAGTCATTAACATAAATTAAAATAATATAATAATTATTCAGTCTTTTATTATAATAATCAATACGCTTATTTTAATTAACCTTTTAGTTGTTTTCATTAGGGTCTTCATCACTTTTTATATTTTGATCTAGATTATTGAGTACTTGTTGGACATCCAATCTTAGCATCATAAATTTAGGATCCATGTTGTAATCCTGAAACAATATTTTGATAAAGATTACCTACCTACTTCACCTAATATCATAACATCACTAAACGATTGAAACGATAACACTGCGAATGTATATAGGTACTTACTTTAAACCCCCCAGATGCAGATTGTGTCTGTATTGTAGTTTGTAGGTTTTCATCTGCTGGAACTCCAGCATCGCCTGCAGAATTACCAGCGTATCTGGACTTCAAATCAAAATTCTTATTCATCTTAAGATTTACAATTTCACTCGCTATCGCAGACATAGCGGTATTGACGTTTACATCTCCTTGATCTCTGGAAACTGAGACATTCATAAAACTGTCTGGATAAACACTCTCAAAATTATATTGCGGCGCAAACTGTGCTGATCTACATAAAGAGCACTGTTGTCTGTTCTCAACTTTTTTTCTTTCATTATGAAGATTTAGTCGCTCTCTAGATAAGGCTACCTTCTCTTTGGCTATCTGCTTTTCCCTAGTATTTAAAGAAATAACGTGCTCTTGAATACGTCGGATTCTTTCCTCGTATTTTGCTTGTACAAGTTCTGCCTCCGAATACTTTTTATCGGCGTGGGATTGCTTTTCTATGGCTGCTTTGGCTAACATATCCAAATCGCGACTCCTAATAAAAATATGTAATTTTAAAAACTTTCTACACGATTATGAAATTATTCTAAATAAAAATAGAGCTTACTTGGCCATTACTCTTTGCTCTTCCATGTGAATTTGCTGCTTCTCTAAATTGATTTTCAATCTTTCTTCGCTTACTTCGTCTAACTGAGCTCTCAAATCGGCCTTAATTTTCTGAAACATAAATAGCAATGCAATTTGGTGTGTGATTTAAATGAAAATTAGACAACGATAAAAAAAAATTACACTAAATGAAAGTAACGGATCATATTCTCCATCCGTTTAACTTACATCTAGTTCCTGCTTCAAACTGTTTATTGAAGCTTTTTCTTTAGATATTAATGCGCTGTCTCTTTCTGCTTTACATTTTTCTTCATTGATTTTTGCAATTTTATCTTGATACTCCTTCTCAATATTTTCTCTTAACGTCTGAAATCCGTTAGTATCACTTGTAACGGATATAACAATAAATTCAAATCAATATTTTATTATGGAAAACCCTAAATTATCGTACCTTGATTTCCTCATCCTGTTTCTTTAAGACATTTTTAGCAAATTCAGTCTGTTTGCCGAATGTTGCTTTCTCAAATTCGAATTCCATTTTCTTTTGCTTTAACATTGCTGATTCTTCTTCAATCATCTAGGGAAAAATTGAACTGATAAATTATCGACATTTATAGAGCTTGGATATAAATTCTTAAAACGACTTAATAATGTATCTGTGACGACGGTTTTGACACAGCTAGATTTTTTTGAATCTTTATTTATAGTGGTAATAGGAAAACGATGTCGTATAAAATTTAACATAACATATCAAGACAGGAAAATTGACTGTTGGTTTTTAGTTGTAGGTTTAGTGAGAAAACTCGTAAGAATCCTCAAAAAGAGAGATTTGTGTTCATGCTTACTATGATTGTTTCAATTATAGTACTTTATATTAAATAGGTTGTTTTATGAAATCTGTGGGGTTATCATAGGTAGGTAGTGACTGCGTCCCCAACATTATAAGTACACACTACTATACAGGGTTACAGGGAAAGTCGTACTGAATATTGAAGGACGTTATTATTCAGGTCATTTCTGATGGATTTAGTCCTATAATATGGTGTCCGAAACTTAACCGTTATGGAGATATTGGATATTAAAGATTTTTTTAAAAAATCCTATATTTTTGGGTTATTGTCGATTTTTTTGAAATTAGAGCTCCAAAGGTCCGATTTTTTAATGTATCTAGTTAGAAAACATGTCAAGCAATAAAAATAATGAATAAAAACTGAACCTACTTCTAACGGCTTAAAAAAACTGCTCGACAACGGTTACAACTAAAGAATTTTCACCAAGTGTACGGGACGCCGGGCTGTCGCAGTAGCGGACAGTTACCGACTCGTACTGAGGGGGTGGAGGAAGTTACACGCAGGAGTCTTGACTGTAGTGGACTGTAGTTTCGGCGAATAAAACCCCTGGTGTTCGGTATTGAAGAAATCGGTGGGCGCTGATAATGGATGGCCGGTGAGAGGAGGCTTCAGGTCCAGAGTGAACCGCTTGGTTGTTTCTTCCTGTTCCTCAGGGTAGGAGCGCCTGTCGCTGAATGCATGTCGGGGCATGTTCCGACTCGAATTTTATATGCTAGGACTGAGCTGGCCAGCGATCCATTACCTCACCCACGCTATACTTTATTTTTCATTTTCTCAAAATTTACAATAGTGCGAGCTTAAAACTAATTGTACATACATCGGGCATACATTTGGGCATATTTTTAACATAGTTATGTGTCCGTAAACACGATATTTTAGGTGTGGCGCGCAAAAAATAGGTCTCCGCAATATTTATACTTTCCCCCTCCATAGGGCTTCGCCCTGCCACGGGGCTTCGCTGCCCCACCCGCGCGCTCCGGGCGCGCCGGGTGGGGAGCGCAACATGTCTCAGAAAACGGTTCTATACAAACATGTTTTGTCTTTTATACGGTACATTTTTACACTTATTGATGGGATACCTATTTATTTACGTAGCCCTACATGTTACCTATCTAATACAACAAGTTTCTTACAAGAATATTAATAAACAACAGCTCTACGGCCCTGTAAAGTTTGTAAATTAAAAAGTCTTAAAAAACCTACTTATACTCACTTAATGTCTAACTATCATATACCGTTCTATAGAAAAAGTAAAAACACATAAAATGACATCATTGTTATAACAATTATACCTATATCCTATTGACTATTCATAAAAAACTATTCCCGATATTTTCCTCAATTACGCTTAAACTACTAACACGATTCATACAAAACTTCGATATATTATTCCTATAACTACCTACTATCTAATAAGACATAAAATAAATCAATCAAAACATAAAACATACTATTATCGAAAATTGTCAACTCAGGCAAAATCCTATAAGACGTGGGACAAGGACAACCTATTGTTTCCGTCCCTCCTATAGGTCGGAACTATCAGTATTCTGACTAGTTTCCCCGCGCCACCGCTTGGCGTCGTGGCGATCGTTTAGATAAAGTCTTATAAGATTATTGGAGAGAACGGGGCGGAATATCGCTCTGAACTATCAATTTTACAATGGTTTACTATGGGCAGAGCTATCTATTGTTGCGATATCCGACTCATTCTAATAAGACAACAAGGGAATGATATCTTTAATGCGTATACAACCGATTCATGTGAAATTATAGATACATTTTTTATACATTAATCTCATATTGTCGTAATTCATCTCTTCTCGCTTCGGTCGTAAGGCGGTCGTCTCGTACATACTCCCGCCGTGCAGCGTCGGTTGACTCGTCGCTGCATCCAATCACCGTGGGAGAGGCGACCGATGATGTTGTATGCACCACCAGCCGCTCCGAAGGTCGATGTAGTGCTCCTCCAATCTTGATAAGGTTGATGACTCGTGTAGTCGCGTTTCGCCCGAATTGGTTGGCGATAACGATTCGGTGTTTCTTGCCTATACGGCGATCTCCGGCGATTTTCTCTGTTGCGATCGATGCGATGCCACCTCGGGGCTCCCGCCGGTGGCGCGGGCGGCCGAGGTCGATGAACTCGCGGCTCGCCGCTGTAGGTATAGCGAGCTGGGCGATTTCTTCTCTGTTTCGCAGTGTGTTTCGTGCTCCCGCCGCTATGCTGACCCGGTGGCGGTGCGTGCTCGGTGCGAATTTCTATGTGCGCGTCCACTCTTCTATTTGTCTTCGATAATGGTCGATGATCGATTTTTCGGTTTTCGTTCTTCGGTCGATTTTCTATTTTCGGGCGATTTTCGATCTTCGGTCGATTTTCTACCTTCGGGCGATTTTCGATCTTCGGTCGATTGTTGACGATGTTGACTTTTTCTATAGTGTTGCGCGCGTGTGTGCCGTGTAGGACCCATCCGAGCGCGGTTTTCGATGCGGCGAGCTGTTTTCGGCTTCCTCTTCGGACTTCGCTGGCGATAAGGAGGTCCCAATTGTCTTGACCGATCAAAATGGTGGGACGGGCGTCTTCGTATACGAGGTGCTTTTCTAAGTCTCGGAGGTGCTTGCAGTCACGTAGGCAATGTGGCTCGACCGTTTGCGATGAAATCTTCATGCGCCGAATAGTGCGCGCTTCTATGTCGAAGCCCTCCGTCTGTCCCTCGATGTTGAAGGCGACCCGTCTCGATTGTGTTTCGGGCAGCTCGGCGTCTATGGTTTCGATCTGGAATTCTTCGGTTGGCCCGTCGGCGCCTATCTTCTCGGCGGCTCGTTCTTCTATTAGTGTCACGGTGGAGCCGTCGTCGAGCAGTGCGTAGGTATCGAAATGACCTCGCGGTCCGGTGATGCGTACTGGAACTATCTTCAGATACGCGTCGCGCTTGCGGCTGCTGTGCGTGCTGGCTACTCGTTCGGTTTCTATTTTTTCTGTTCGATGCGGTGGCGACTCCTTTTCTTGATCGATTTTCGGTTTGAAGTGAAGTAGCGGATGATGAGTGCGTTCGCAGCCATCTCTGTTGCACGCGCGCGGCGCGCAGTTGTGTGTTCTGTTTCTGTACTGTAGGCACTTGTAGCACAGGTTGCTCTGCTTCGCTATTTCCCAGCGGCGTTCTCGGTTAGCGGCCTTCAGTGTTGCGCAGTCGACCGGTGTATGCTTTAGTTCCGCGCAGACAGGGCACGGGACGTCTTCGACGTAATATCTTCTATTTCTATCTTCGATATTTTTTCTTTCTTGACCTTCTATGCTGTGTGTTCGAAATCTTCTTTGCAAAGTAGAGTGTTCTTCACTCCCGATGTATTCCGGTGGGGCGTATCTTGCGTTGTTTTCTGCCTCGACTTCTATAAACTCGGCGAACAATAATAATTCCGGTTGCGACTTCAACTTTTCTATGTTTCTATGTTGGTTGGCGAAGTCGTTCCAGCGAAAACGAATGGTCGATGGCAGCTTTTCTATAATTGTCTTCATAATATCCGGCGCACGTAGGTACTCGTTTTGCCCCAGTACTTGTAGTGCGACGACGCTATTCTTGATTTTGTTTGCAAAAATCACGATGTCCCTCGGCGAATCGGTGAGTCGGGGTAAATGGCGCAGCTTTTCTATTTCGGTTGCGGCGATGTTGTCCGGGCGGCCGAATCTGTGTTCCAATTGCTTCATAATGTCGCCCGGCGTAGTGTTGCTTATTAGCATGCTGCCCACGGCTTCTCTTGCCTTCCCCTTGAGGGCTCTTCTTAATCTTGATGAGTTTTCCGCCGACGATAGGTAGGTTGCGGATTCTAGGTACGCCGCCCTGAAGGTGAGCCATTCTGTGTGCGCGCCGCTGAAGGGTGGCAGCTCTCCGACGTAGCGTGGACCCTGTGCAGGCGGTACGGCGGCACGGACGGCGGCGTTGATTGCGACGGCCAGCTCGGAGACGTTCATTCTGTCTTGCTGGACCGGCGGTGGCGGTGGCGGCGACGTAGGGGCGACTTGTTCTTGAGCTTCATCAATGCGGGACGGCGGACTCTTCTTAATGCATGGCTTCAGCGCCCCTGGGACTGGATCTTCGGCAAGTGGTGCGACGGACCCACCAATCTGTACGGTGTCCTCGACGGTCGGTCTTCTATACGGTTCGGTGGTGCCGCCGTCGGGGGTGGTGTCCTTTGTCGCTGTGTCCAGCCAGGTGATGACGCGTTCTTCATTCTCGGTGCCATGTGTGCTATCGGTTTCTCTTCTATCTTCTATTTGCGGGTCCTCTTGGTCCTCATCTTCGCTATCTTGCTCTTCCATTCGTATCTTCGCCCTTATAGTCTTCTCTAATTCTTCGTATAACGCCGCCAGGCGCTTCTTCTTTGCTGCTCTTCGTGCAGCTATCTTCGATTCTGTTCGGTGTGATGTCATTGCAGCTGATGGCGACTTCGGCGGTTGGTCGTGGCGCAGCGGGTACGGTGGCCGCGTCACGGTGTCGCTCCCTTCCGATGGCGCTCTTGACGGGGGTTGGACAGGATTCTCTCCTGCAGCGGTTCGCTCTGGCTCTTCGATGCTTCTCTCGATGCGCTCCTCTTCGGCCTGGTCCATTTTGTCAGCTTGAGATCTTGTTCGTGGCATTTTTCTTTCTTCAATCTTCTATAATTTTTCTTCAATTTTCTGTCTTCAATCTTCTATAATTGACCACGACGATCTTCTTTCTTCAATCTTCTATAATTTTTCTTCAATCTTCTATAATTTTTCTTCAATTCTTCCTCGGCGCTGTAGATCCGGCTCGAAGGACCAAAAAATGTACGGCACGCCGGGTACAGCTTGAATAGATGGCCGCTGAGAGGAGCTGATGTTGTCCAGAGTGAACCGCTTGGTTGTTTCTTCCTGTTCCTCAGGGTAGGAGCGCCTGTCGCTGAATGCATGTCGGGGCATGTTCCGACTCGAATTTTATATGCTAGGACTGAGCTGGCCAGCGATCCATTACCTCACCCACGCTATACTTTATTTTTCATTTTCTCAAAATTTACAATAGTGCGAGCTTAAAACTAATTGTACATACATCGGGCATACATTTGGGCATATTTTTAACATAGTTATGTGTCCGTAAACACGATATTTTAGGTGTGGCGCGCAAAAAATAGGTCTCCGCAATATTTATACTTTCCCCCTCCATAGGGCTTCGCCCTGCCACGGGGCTTCGCTGCCCCACCCGCGCGCTCCGGGCGCGCCGGGTGGGGAGCGCAACATGTCTCAGAAAACGGTTCTATACAAACATGTTTTGTCTTTTATACGGTACATTTTTACACTTATTGATGGGATACCTATTTATTTACGTAGCCCTACATGTTACCTATCTAATACAACAAGTTTCTTACAAGAATATTAATAAACAACAGCTCTACGGCCCTGTAAAGTTTGTAAATTAAAAAGTCTTAAAAAACCTACTTATACTCACTTAATGTCTAACTATCATATACCGTTCTATAGAAAAAGTAAAAACACATAAAATGACATCATTGTTATAACAATTATACCTATATCCTATTGACTATTCATAAAAAACTATTCCCGATATTTTCCTCAATTACGCTTAAACTACTAACACGATTCATACAAAACTTCGATATATTATTCCTATAACTACCTACTATCTAATAAGACATAAAATAAATCAATCAAAACATAAAACATACTATTATCGAAAATTGTCAACTCAGGCAAAATCCTATAAGACGTGGGACAAGGACAACCTATTGTTTCCGTCCCTCCTATAGGTCGGAACTATCAGTATTCTGACTAGTTTCCCCGCGCCACCGCTTGGCGTCGTGGCGATCGTTTAGATAAAGTCTTATAAGATTATTGGAGAGAACGGGGCGGAATATCGCTCTGAACTATCAATTTTACAATGGTTTACTATGGGCAGAGCTATCTATTGTTGCGATATCCGACTCATTCTAATAAGACAACAAGGGAATGATATCTTTAATGCGTATACAACCGATTCATGTGAAATTATAGATACATTTTTTATACATTAATCTCATATTGTCGTAATTCATCTCTTCTCGCTTCGGTCGTAAGGCGGTCGTCTCGTACACCAAGTGTTCTTAACTTTGAAGCGCTTTTCTAAAAAAATATGTATGGAACTTATTCTGCAACTTCTACGTCTCTTTAGCTATTCAAAAAGGTATAACACTTGCTATTAAATTGGCAAAACATTGACCAAATAACAGTTATGGTAGCAGAGGGTACATTTTTAGTTTGAGGTAAAAATAGCAAAAATACTTAAATAAAACCAAAAAAGGTTAGTAAATATTTTTATAATTCATGTTCAACATGGCCGCCGCTATTTCTAACACATATTCTCAATCTTTTTCTTAAATTACTTTTTAAGTTCCGCCTCATATCCTCAGCCGCATCAATAAATTCTTGATGATGATGAATGATGCCGATCGCAAATATCGATATTTTGCGACAAAGAATTTATTGATGCGGCTGAGGATATGAGGCGGAACTTAAAAACTTCTGTAGTAAAAAGTAATTTAAGAAAAAGATTCAGAATATATTGTGTTAGAAATAGCGGCGGCCATGTTGAACATGAATTATAATTTTGAGCAGCTCGATGGCGCAAGTGGTTAGCGCGTTCGGCTGCGATCGTTGAACTTAAGCAACTTTCGCAGTGGTCGGTCATTGGATGGGTGACCAAAAATTACTATCTCGAGCTCCTCCGTGCTTCGGAAGGCACGTTAAGCCGTTGGTCCCGGCCGCATCTGCAGTCGTTAGCACCCACCAATGCGCACTGGGCCCGCGTGGTGGGTCATGGCCCAATCTCCCTATTCAATCAATAGGGAAGGCCTGTACCTCAGCAGTAGGCACATTAATAGGCTGGTGATGATGATGATGATCCTTTTCTGGTTTTATTTACGTATTTTTTCTATTTTTACCTCAAACTTAAAATGTACCCTCTGCTACCATAACTGTTATTTGGTCAATGTTTTGCCAATATAATAGCAAATGTTATATCTTTTTGAATAGCTAAAGAGACGTAGAAGTTTTTAAAATTATTTGCAGAATAAGTTCCATACATTTTTTTTTAGAAAAGCGCTTCAAAGTTAAGGACACTTGGTGAAAATTCTTTAGTTATAACCGTTGTCGAGCAGTTTTTTTAAGCCGTTAGAAGTAGGTTCAGTTTTTATTCATTATTTTTATTGCTTGACATGTCTTCTAACTAGATACATTAAAAAATCGGACCTTTGGAGCTCTAGTTTCAAAAAAATCGACAATAACCCAAAATATATAGGATTTTTTAAAAAAATCTTTAATATCCAATATTTCCATAACGGTTAAGTTTCGGACACCATATTATAGGACCAAATCCATCAGAAATGACCTGAATAATAACGTCCTTCAATATTCAGTACGACTTTCCCTGTAACCCTGTATATCTGTAGTAGGTAATTGTATATTTAATTTAATAACAAAATTTTACTGTTGTCATCTGCTTCAAACGTTTTTCAAGTAAGTTCACCATTTCCCTGGTCTCTGTTTTCTCTTTTTCGAAATTTTCTCTATCGATTTTTAGTTGCTGAACCATATCTGAAACATAATATTTTTTACACAAAACATGTTTATACCAATAATAAACATGAATGCAAAGTTTTCTGATACCCGTTAATTGTGACTCTCTCGTTTGTAAAGCTCTTCTCATATCGCTTTGGGTGTTGTCAACCAAACTCTGAACTTTTTCTAGTAGCTGTTGAGACTGCAGTTTATTTTCATTGACATTAGATACTAACTCTCGCAAGTCGGCTGAGAATCCTACAGAATCTTGTATCAGCGCTTGTTCGTGCTTGACCGCATTTCTATGCATAAAAAATCAGATTGTCTCCTAATAGCCTGCGCAGACGAGGGACTTTTGTCTGCGGAGGAAAAAAGTCCTGTCCGGTGCGTGGTACTTTTAATCCGTCGTGTGTCGGAAATAGATCGTTTGTGCAGTTGTAAACGATCTATTTCCGAGGACAAAAAAGTCCGCAAACAATTGTCCCGCGTCTGCCTAGACCATAAATATACCTACTCGTATTATTTCAAAATGTTTAAAAATTCACTTTCCTCTAGAATAAACAATGTCCTTACTTGATATTTTCCATAAGTGCTGCATGATGTTCCTGCAACACTTTGACGTTTTCCAAATGCTGCAGTCTCAACATTTCAGTTTCAGCTTTATGTCGTTCAGTGAGAGAAGTCAAATTGTCCTCCGTTGATCGTTTGTATTGCAAGTGATGTTCATCCAACCATGCTATCTTCTCCGAATAATATCTAGTCAACTTTTCACTTTCTTCCTTCATTCTTTCTTCGTATTGATTTAATGAAACTTCTAAAAAAGCTAGTTGCCGTCTAATGCAAAAAAAATTAAAGAAAATAGACAAAAGAAAATAGACTTCCTCATATGTGAATCGACAGCATACTCAATATTCAACAAATCTTTCAAATACAGTTGTTTAATAAAGTAAAGGTTAACAGTAGTGTTAAGAGACTTTATAGAAAGAAATATCGTACATATACGTATTATACCTACTATGTTAAAAAAATCTGTTGAAAACATACCTATACGAAATTTCCATAAGATCTATTTCCTTGTCATGATTTTCTTGAAGGGATTGTACTAGCTGTAATAATTGCTTCTTTTCTTTCATTCGTGGAGTGTTTTCACGATCCACTGGTGTATTGTCGATATTATTATGGATCTCACTTCCATCATCTTGATTAACCGTACCCAATAGAGCCTGGAAAATCGAATTGCTACTACCTACAATATTTTTTGGACTCCTAAATTATTTAGGTACCTCTGTTACTAAAAAGCTTAATAAATTGTGCCTCAGTTAAAAGACACACCATTACATGCGCTATGTTAACTCATCAAACACCAATGTTAAGCGGGCATAAATTCGCCGCCCTTCGCTGTCTGGGCGGAATCACTAAGCCACCATGTCACCGACACCCCATGGACGCGCCGAAGCTCCTCCAACAACTTCTGGGCTGCAAGCAGCACCATTCCTAAGCCGATGGGGACCAGGAAGTGCCGAAGGAGACCCGACACCCACAGTTTCGGAAACATAGCTCTGATTATTAGCCTTTATTTGTTGATATTTATAAAATTAGGAGAGGCATATGATAAATCTGGCCAGTTATGAGTGTGAGAAAAAATAAAGAGTTCCATTCTTTATTTAACCTGGTCAGTAATTATTTATTTTTATGGATCTCATATAGGCTAGCATTAGAAAATGTTCACATGCGTAATTAGGTAGACAATAAATCATGGGAATTATGAAAAATATACCTATGTATATGACGCGATAGTGGAAGGATGTAGAAGCCGGGTAAAACCCAAAATCATCTATAACCATCGAATTGGATTCTGAAGAAGGCAGGTGACGTATCATCAAATCTCAGGTCATAATATAACATTGTTAAAATCAGCCTGCAGAGTTATATAATGGTATCGACTCTAGCATGATTAACTAAACCTAAACTTAAATTGGACAAGTGTATCCTTGTCATTGTCTATACAGAATAAAAAGCAGAGACTGATGTTAAAGTTAGTTTTCAATTTGGAGAATCATGCCAAAATCGACACCATTACTTAATTCTCTATTTTATTGCGTGAAATAAAATGTAACTCAACCTTTATACGTTGTGCAATTCTTTCCTGATGGGCATTGATGATGGATTGCATTTGGTGTCGATGTTGCGTTTGCTGCTGCAGCATGGCATCGAGCTGTTCGTGGTGCGCAAGCGCTGCCTCCCGTTGTATACGCTGGCTTTCCTTTTGTCGCACTGCTCAAATCAATAGTAAATCAACAATGTTTATTTCCAACTTATCTCTTTTCTAAACATAAAATGAAAGCGATCAGAGGCAGAGAAAAAGTTACGCAATTAATCCCCATGCCCAAAATGGCGCGCTTCTTTAGCGAGTTAAAGAGGCAATATTACCTACAGGCCTGATAGTGTACGACTTTCTACGTTTAAGACACATTTAAAAAGTCTGCTGTACTTCTACTATACATTAGTTGAAGAACAGCGGACTTATTAAACTCCAAAATTAACGTATAATAAAATTTTCTTTAAATACAAATATGTATAAGTAACTTTTATTTTAAAAAAACCCCTCAGTGGTTTTTAATGTTAATTCCTTACTCTGCATTGCTGCAAGTTTTTCCTCTTGTGCTTTCAATTGCAAAGCGACCATTAGTTGTGACTCTTGTTGCTGTAAATACAAAGAAGCTCCTTCTGCTGTCAAGTCTTCTTTGCTACTGTGCAACACTGGTGCAGATGAAATTTTATTAAAGTTATGTGATATGTGATCTGATGTCAACTCGTTTTCCCTTCTTTCCTCTAGTGCAGGAACTGTTTCGGCAGTTGCAGCAGCTGGAGTAGCTGCTTGTTGTTGAATTGCTGTCGCCTCCGTTTCAGTTCTCTTCTTTTTTGTTTCGCCACCTAGCCACGAAGGCATATCGGCAACATTATCATTTTCATCTCCATCATTGAAAATTCCCAACCAATCATTACTTGATTTCGTTTTCTTTGGAACTCTCTCTTCTTTAGAAGGTTTTTCAGGTTTCGCAGTGGTTTTTTGTGATGTAGGCTTACTGTCACTTGATTTGGATTCCTTTCCCAGTATAGAGGCGAAGTCAAACTCTTGACTTTTAGCGGCCGCTATCGGTCTGTTAACTTGTGTTGATGATGGCTTAACTGACGGACCACCTAATATATCGTCTAATAGAGATTGCGAACTTTTACCTTTCTCTAATGGTTTTATTGTTTCCTTTTTAGGCTGATTCAAATCGCCAAGTATATCAAGAGGATCGATACTGGCACTGATTTTAGGTTTTGCTGGAGACTTTGCAGTATCGGTCGCTGGTTTGAATTTGTTATCAGCTAGCTGAACGGACTCTTTGGAGAGTTCTCTCTTAAATGGTGCAGGAGAAACAGGTTTATAATTCTTAGTGGAATCATTTACTCTCACAGAGTCAGATTTTCCTATATTAAAGTTATCATTTTTAGGCTTATTTGACTCTAAATCAAACAATGTATTTTTCTTTTCTGGTGTAGGAGTAGCTTTGGCTTTTGTGGGTTTCTTCTTGCCTATTATATCGTCATCGAAAAAACTGTCGTCGCTACCATCACTGAGTATGCCAGCAAGTGGATCATCAACATTAAAACTCATAATTTATTCAGATTGGTGATGAAAAGCAGATATTCCAAATCACTTTTACACTTTACGGATATGCACACACAATGTTTACAAACACGGCGCCATGGAAACGGACACGGAAATTCAAAAATGGGTGAACTTTTGTTCGGAAAAAAGGGTTTGTGTCAAAAAAAATCTATTCAATAAAACATAAACCTATTTTCATTAACATTACATACAAAAATAATTCTAAATTCTTTTATGAAGATGCAAATACACAATACTTAAAATATTAATGTTTTATAATAACTAAAAATTACCATTCAACATTGTTGATTCCTAAACGTTAGGTTCGATGAAAATGACTGACATTTTTTTAGCTGTGGTCACAAACTAATAAGGAGATACTACGCATCAACCAGGAATCTTCGAAGAACCAATACGGGCACGGTACTTTAAAGCTTGACACATTTTTTTTTTTATTTTTCATTGAGCAATATAGCTGCTTGGAATACGCGGATATATTTACGCGGGCTATTTAAAATACCAAGACCGCGAAATTCAAATTTCATATGTAATGAAATTATTGATTATTGGACCACTTGCAGCAAAATTTGCAAAATCTCGATTTTGCTTAAACTAGGTTTAAGCCCTGGAAGTATCAAAATGTCAATTTAACAATATTGTATGGGCTAAATCTAAATCGAGATTTCACAAAATTGCTACAAGTGGACATTAATAGATTCAGAGATAGAAAAATAAAGGATTGTTAAAATATTATACAAAAAAAAGTTTATTTTTCATAAATTCAAAGCAGTTTACATAATAGTTTATTTGCAGTAACATGACAATATTTAAAAAACAAATAAACAAATGAAACCTTAGCCGTGCATCCACACCGCAATTAACTTTTGTAAAGCAACACTACACAACACAACACTATGGTAAAATTTGGTATTATATCTATTTTTTGTGGTTACTTGATATAATTTGTTTGTTGTTACTCATTGCGTTCATACCGCTAATAATTTAACAAAATATAACAAAGAATAACTATCGGCAACAAAGTAAAAGAGCCATGTTGCTTAACACGTAGCAATATAATCATAATCATTAATTTCGTAATAAATTACACGTCAATCATAAAGGAGACCCGGCACTTTTCATAGAAAAAATGCTAAACTTGTGTATACAGTTGAATTTGGTCTCAAAATAAAGCCAAAATTATTTGCTACATAAAACTACTTTTGCCTTATTTTTAGTGAATCGTGGAAAGAAGTTATTTAATGATTAATATTTATTGATATAGAAACCCTTTTGATGACAAACCTACGTATTTGACATTGACAGCTAGCTGCTGATGACAAATATTGCCAGACTACGTTACCCAATTATGAAACACAGATAAAAAAATTAAAATAGTATACAACTTTGGCACAAAATGCCGGGTGTACTTTCAGAATAGAAATATATAGAGTATTAACTGAACTTTCAATGAATTAAAAAATGTCAAAATTTAATTCCTATGTCAATTTAAAATTATATAAAAATACATTACAGAGTTAACACAATTGATTGTATTTATGCTTAAATAAAGTTAAATGTCAAATACAAATTACAATAAAAAAACAAAAAATAATGAATTAAAAAAAATAGTCATTCAATATTACAGAACAATTTAATAATAAGTCCAATTAATGCAAGGATTTGTCATTCAAAAACTCATTGACACTATAAAAAGTTCGATCAATGAGCCATAACTTTAATTTATGTTTAAAATTATTAAGAGACTTGGCGTTAGTGAGCAACTTTGGTAACAAGTTATATACCGTCGAAACCATGACATGAGTTAGCCTACTCGATTTGACCAATGTTCTCTGCTCACTGGTCAGCTTATTCGCAATTTGAGTATCGTGTGAATGCTTGTCACTGTATGATTAAAAAAATTGTCCGCACATATAAATCAACTTAAAAAATTACTATAGACGGAAGAGTTAAAATTCTGAGTTCTTTGAAATACGGTCGTGCTGATTCATCCGACCTGCTGATAAAATTACCTGAAATTGTTGCAGGTTCACACAGAGTAGATGCAGAAGGCATATTATCGCATTCCGAAAATAAAGTTAAAACAAAATTATAAAAACAAGGAAAGAATAAAAATATTATTTTTAGTAACATTACAATTATAAAGTCTAAACCTTTCAATATTTCTATATTCATAATGGACGAAGTAGGTGCAGTTTCGCAATCTATAATAAAACAATTATGTTATCTTTATAAAATTGGGGGAGACCTAGTGGTATCAGAGCAGCAATAGCTCTTACATTAAAATACCCATTCTTTATAAATTACTAAAGCAACCAGTTTTTTAACAATGATTTAAAAAATATGTTAAGGTATGTGTTATAAATTATATATTTAAAAACATACCACTATGCCCAATTTGTAACTGTTTCTTATCAACATGTGTAGCAATATAATTTTATAATATTAAGTTGTAGAAATATTACTAATCAAAGCGCCATCTATCACCATACGTATTCATCATCGAATAATGTAATTGGTTTTAAAGAAGCACAGAATATATTATGAATAAAAAAAATTGATAGTTGCATTTGAAAGATGAGATAGATGGAGTTGTATTTAATAGTGTTAAATAAAATTACACGCATTGATTGCGTGATTAGCTATTGTTCAGGAAGCAGTTTCTTGGTGGGAGACGGGCGGAGCCGTACTAACCGGTCCTGTCGTTTCCTCGCACCAAATATGGTGATTTGAGAGAAATTTGCTGGGACGCCGTTCACGTGATCCTATGCCACTATAAATAGCTTTGCGCAGACGGTTTCATTCTCTTTTGTCTGCGAACCGAACACTTGAACATCTAGTAAATTGCACAGTGACTGGAAATTATAGTCAGTGCATAATTAATTAATATACTTTCCCCGGATTAACGGGTAAGTCCAATATATCTAACTGGTTAGGCTGTAGGTCAAGTTAGGTTTTTTATTGAACTATAGAAAAATGTGTAATTGTTTCTAGGTCCTTTGAAGTGGCTAATTAAAAACAGTATACGATAATTACAATTACTTAATCCTGCTTGGGATTTCTTTGGATATACATATATAAAGAAGTACGCTATGTATATATATAAATGAGCCTGTGAATGCAATCTTGATCGAAAAAGAGCACGATGACAGCAGATTCTGTTACAACCCACGTGGATACCTGAATCGCTTGATGGTACCGAGATCTTGAAAGCTAAGTAAACTCTCAACCTATTTAATCTTTAAGTAGTGCATTCTCCGAAGTACGAAGTTTCAGATTGTTAAAACATAATAAAAGATTTATTGTTGTAAACTGTAGATTCATTAACGAAAGTAGCTTCATATTTGCCAAACGAATTGTTTCTTTAGAATCTTAATATAAATAAATTTGTATGTACGATACTTGCTAAAACAAAATGTTTCCTTAGAATATTAACATTAATATAACTGTATGTACACCTGTTTTGACTGTATGTTCGTCACTGATTCTCTATACCTAAATTTATAAAAGCCATCTTCAAAGATATTAATTTATAATGTTAAGTGTGTTAATATATGTTGAAAATTGAACTGAATATTAACAATACATATATCTTGTTCACTGCGGTTATTGATTTTTTATTTTATCTCCCTCAAATAACAGTAATACGGCGCCCTGATTATAGATTAATTAATTTCGAGTCTCATGTAAAAGCCCTGAAATAGTCGGTGATAACAAAAATTGTTACACATGTGGATTTGCTTGGTTATAATCATGATCCAGTAGTCCAGTAGATCCACTAGTCCAGTAGATCCAGTAGTCAGTAGTAGTAGTATCCAGTCAGTACAGTGTTTTCTAAAACATTTTTTTATATATATTAGAAAAAAAATATCACATAATAGAAAATAGCAATAAAACAAAAACAGATTTTCTAGCATGGAGTGAATAGAGCATTCTTTTATATTTTTTTTACATTGTATCAGAGTTGATGAAATATTATGAACTGGGTAGGGTAGGTACCAGATCATACAACTTACCAATCCATACATTATATATTAATATTATAAATGTGAAAGTGTGTTTGTTTGTTTGTTTGTCTTCTCTTCACGCCTAAACCGCTAAACCGTTTGTGATGAAATTTGATATATGTATAGCTTGAACTTCTGAGACTGCTATAGGCTACTTTTTTTAATTTATGTATTCGAATTTACATAATTTTCAACTAAATTAATCATTTTCATGGTTGGTCCCGATAGAGATGGCGCTACTGTCACGAAGACAGATTAAATTTGAAAAGTGGAAGTTGCTATCTTAACATAATACGAGATGGCACCACTCGTGTTCAATACCGAGTATTTTGTGTTAGTGTTTCATTTATTAAATCGAGGTAATTTTACGCAATTTCTTTCTAATCTCATTTTTTAAATTAATACTAGCAAATACTAGTCTAAATTTATAATATAAAAATATCGAGTTGAGTTGTTTTCGAGTAATTATAGATTCTGGAAGAGGTGGCGCTACCATCTCGAATACCAACTCAACCGAGTAGTCTCTCTTGAAATAATATTTTCTGAGTAACTTAACAGATGGCACCACCCGTCTTTAAAATGGAGTATTTTTAATTGCTAAAAATGTGAGTTGTGATATTGCGTTTTTTCAGATCGCGCTATTTATGAACATGACTTTTTAATATTTATTGTTAATTTTTTAGGTAGATATTTTAATTAAAATAATATTAGTAAAAAAAACGACTTCCTTAAGTGTCCTAATATCTTACCAGAAAATCTTATAAACATCAAATAGATATTAAATAATCAGCTGTTTACAGTAGACAGATACTAAATAAACAGCTGTTATGATTTATTTTAGTCCCTTAATCGAGTATTATCCAATAATTTTCAAGTGAAGATTGATCCTGGATGTTGAGTAGAGGTAGGCGCTACCAACTCGAATAACAATTCGAAAACCAAGCTGTTGCGTGTGAAACTGAAGAGATGTCGCTACCCGTCATTAAAATCGAGTTTACTTGCACTAAAAATCTGAGGTTTTTCGGATGGCG